AAAAAAAAAAAAAAAAAAAAAAAAAAAAAAAAAAAAAAAAAAGAAATACACCAAGAAAACCAAGTGACTGAGTCAAATACAAAATAAATAGTTAAGTCAGAGAATACAAAGTAAATACTCAAATATGATCAGCTTTTCCCACATCAGCAGAAAAGCAGTAGAAAATGAAGCAATGTTAAAATTCCAACAAAAAGATAAGTTTCCAAGATCAATTGTAATAAGAAATACTTGAGATTTACATGAAGAAGACAAAACTATATAAAGAAATTCAAAAAATTGTTTAAAAGAAAAAAATTTAAATTAAGAAGACCCATAATTGAACCATAAGTCAAACAAAACCACATATCTGATGCAAGACTGTATAATAACACCAACAGCTCTTTTGAGCAAATGCTACATTGAATGCATAATTCATAGATACAAGTCTGAAACATAAGTTGTTCATATATTATTCCACAATTAAAAGATTTCTGTGTGTGGATTTTACCAATTGCACTATTGTTTTCCTACTTAAAATGACGTGTGTGTGTGTGTGTGTGTGTGTGTGTGTATAAGTTAAAAAATATATAAATGATACATTAGTTATCTAACTCAGAAATTCATACATTGTTAGTATCTTGTTTTTTGTTTTTTGTTTTTTGTTTTTTTTTTGAGACAGGGTTTCTCTGTGTAGCCCTGGCTCTGCAGGTCAGGCTGGCCTTGAACCTGGAGATCCACATACCTCTGCCTCCTGAGTGCTGGGATTAAAGGTGTGCCTCACCACTTCCTGGTTTGTTAGTGTCCGCTTTTTAACATAGCTACCACTTCTTGTTATTTTTTGTACAGTTCCTCTGGAAGGACTGAGGAGCCAAAGCCAGTTTGAAGAGATGAGGTCAAGCTATATCCGGGAATTGATCAAGGCAATAGGCTTAAGGCAGAAAGGGGTTGTCCCCAGTTCACAGCGCTTCTATCAACTTACGAAGCTTCTTGACAGTTTGCATGATGTAAGTACTTTGTTTTCCAGATTATTGGTAAGAATGCTGTGAATTTCTCTAATTACTTAAAAAAAAAAGAAATGATAAATTCTGAGTCTCAGATAGCATTTTTCCTTTTAGATAGTCCAGGACCCAAGCTTGGGGTATGGTGCCGTCAACATATTCTTTCACAGCATGCCTAGAAACTAATATAATCTAGACAATCCCTCTTAATAAATGTGTCCAAAAGCTTGTCTTCTGGATCATTCTAGATCTTGTCAAGTTGATGACTGGTATTAGTCTTCACAGTATGGTTTCCCCAAACTCTTATTTGTAGTTGGGTTTTAAAAGACTACATCACACACGCCGTTGTGTTCCATGTTGACTTCTCAAAGTGTATATATCACTTAAGGATAATTTAATGGCCAAGACAAATTATCATATATTTTTCGGAATAGTTTCTAAAATAAGTTTTTGCTTCATAATATTAGTATAGAAAATAACGCTGTTATGTCATTCTGTGTGTATTTGTAAATACTCTTGCTGATGGCAATCAGGTAAGAGCTTCACGCTTTCCAAGATTCCATTCAAAGGCATAAAGAAATCATAAATTAAATTATTTAAATTCTTTCTGGGTTATTGTTTCTATACTCTGCTATGATAAGCAGCCCACAAATGCCCAACACCGCGGAGTTAGACTGATAAAACTTAACATATGTGTACGTGTGTGTGTGTGTGTGTGTGTGTGTGTGTGTGTGTGTTAACTGAGACATCTTGGATACTAGCTTTTATTGCTGTTGCATAAGAAACCCCATGAAAATGAGAGTCAAAGGCCTAGAAAAGCTACCTACTCAGCAGGTCAACTTGTGAGCCTGAATTATGAACACTTTGTGACCATGATAAGCTACTTGAATTAAATCATGACAATAAAAAGCAGAGAACAGAATAAGTCTAGGAAAAAAGAAACTTGAAGGATAAAGCACCAGTACAGGAGACAGGAGAAAAATTCACAGAGCCTCAAGGAAACACAATGGTACTATGTCAAAGAAAGAAACAAGAGCCTTCAAAAAGGAACATTTAGCAAACAATAAAAAATAAGTAAATAAGTAAATAAGTAAATAAATAAATAAATAAATAAATAAAACTTTGGGACAATTTAGTGCAGAGTTGAAGGCATTGAAATTCAACAAAAGTAAAAAAAAACAACAGAAATCATGAAATACAAAGGACATTCTCAGTAGAAAATATTAAAACCTAACACATGATAAATCAGATTTCATTCTCAAATTCAAGTTAATAGGAATTTGCAGAAGAAAGAATATAGGAAAACAAAGGCAGGGGAATTATCAGAAAAGTTACTCAAATGGAATGATATGAGTTCTCTTTTTCTTACTTTTCTTTCTCAATTTTTGAGCCATGGAGTTGCCATGTAGCCCATACTGACCTTCATTCTGGTAGCAGTCCTCCAGCCTTGGGTCCCTTCTCTTTGCTAAAGATGTGAATTTTCTAAATGTAAGGGACTACAATATGGGTACTGCATAATTCATCCAAGGTGCACTATAATAGCTCATTATACCAAGAATGAGAAGAATATCCTAAGCATACCAGTGATAAAAGAAATAACTTATATGCAAACTGCCAGCATTCTGAGTGACATTGGATTTAGGACAATGGCTGAGCAGTGTCTTCAGAATCCCAAGGAGAGGAAAATCACCAAACAGCCAAACAATTGCAATGCCACCACCAATTTCTTTCACACTCATTCAGTCTTGCAGAGGACATCTCAAATATAACCTTCCCTGGGAACTACATTGGGATGTGCTCCTATTGATCATAAAGCTGTAGGTGAAGAGGATTCAAACCAGGAGGTATGCATGGTGATGCCCCAGCATAATGACTGGGAGGAACAATAAGTCTCTGCTTATTGCTCTGTTCTTATTTGTGACCAGTAAGACAGCATTAGACTCCAGCACACCAATTCCAGGGTGAAAATGGAGCTAGGAAGTTGCTAATGTGTACAATTATGTTCAGGTGGTTTTCACCATCCTGTCAGGGAAATTGATTATGACTTTGTGCCAAATGGAGAAAAAAGTAAAAGAAATAAGATACAAGGTAATTAGATACCACAAAATGAAAATGGTGAAAGAAAGGAAATGCTGCTCACCAGGAAACAATACCAATCTTTCTAGTAAAAATGTAGGATACTCACTTAGTCAAAAACTGAATATAACAGTAGGAAAATGCTTCCTGGGGAACTTCTGGATTTTGCTTCTGCTGTTTCCTTTGTGATCTGTCTTACAGTACTATGAGACTTAAATTGTGTAAATTACATATTTCATTAAGATAGAAGTTGATCCTGTTGATATAGGCCTGCACTCCCTGATATTTAAGAGGCCAATTCAGAAAGCTCACAAACTCACAGAATTCTCTGATCTACAGTGAACGATTACAGTAGTCTGGGCCATTTAGCAAGACCCTGTCTCAAAATAAAAAGTAAATATTAAAGAGAAGCTGGCTATATTACTCAGTGATACAGTTCTTAGGTCACATACCTGAGGCCCTGAGTTTTATGATTTATGTTGAGTTACTGAAATAGAATCGGTAAATTGTTGTGTGAAAAAGTCTAATTAACAAATGGGATTTATGAAACTATTGCATTTTGAAAATGTATACGTTCATGTATTTGCAATATTATGTGTATGTGTGCATACAGGCCTAAAAAGAAAAAAAGGTTGAAAATTAAATCAAAATGTTCACTTTGGAACACTGGAATGTCGCTAATTTTCATTACTTTTAAATATTACACATTTGGGTCTGAGATGACTCCGTAGTGAAGAGCCCTTGCTCCTTGTAGAAGGCCCAGGCTCGGGTTCAATTCTTAGCACCCACATGGCGGCTCACAACCACATGTAATTCCAGTTCCAATGGATCTGATGCCATCTGCTGACTATGATGAGTACTACATGCTAGTAGTGCACATACATAAATGCAGACATTCATACACAGAAGACAGAAATAAATTCATGAAATATCATATTACCAGCATGCTCCGTCATGAGTATAAAACATTTTTCATATTTTCCCAGAGAGCAGAGAGAGTTATTTGAGTATTTGCAAGAACAAACAACTGGACAGGTTTTTCCAGTATTAAAAAAATAAGTTATCATGTTTGAACAGTGTGGGTTTATTGTTTTTCTCACATTACCTACCCACTTGTTAAACCAACAGCTTGTGAAACAGCTCCACCTATACTGCTTGAACACATTCATCCAGTCTCGGACACTAGCTGTGGAATTTCCAGAAATGATGTCTGAAGTTATTGCTGCACAGTTGCCCAAGATCTTGGCGGGCATGGTGAAGCCTCTTCTCTTTCATAAAAAGTGATGTCTTTGCTTTGTTTTCTTTGCAAAAATTAAGTTTTGTGGTATGTATTTTTTGTCTTGGTTAGGATGGTCAGGTCTTGAGTCTTTATAATGTTCTTCTGAAAGCCTTACATGTATACATATCACACTGTGTAAATTATGAGAAAACTTGGGAGATTCTGATTTTCCTTTGTAATGTCTAAGTGGAGTTTCTAAAGTGTTTTATGTACCCATATTTTCTTTGAGAGTTTACATAGTTTAAAAAGGACTAAATTGATTGTATAAGTAAACTATATCTCATCTATATTATTTCATACTTTTCGGATGAAAATTTTTTTAACCTTTGCATCTAACATCTAACAAATCTCCCCTATAGGGGGAAAACATCCCTACCTTTAACAATAAACCATACATGCTACTTTTAGATAGTTGTTTTGGTTTTCCAAAACTGGACCTTTAAAATGGCAGCCAAAAATGTAACTATTTTGTGAGAAGATTCATAACCTAAAGCAGATTTTCAAGAGTTTTTAATGAAGAAAGAAAGAAAAAAGGAAGAAAGGAAAAGAAAGGAAGGAAGGAAGGAAAGAAAGAAAGGAAAAAACAACAAAACAAAACAGGAAAACAGAAAGGGAGCTGAAATGGGTTGATATTTTGAATCTAGGCAAACTGTGGTTGGAAGCAGACTTGTGACAGAGTAAATAAACAGCAACACAGTTGTGTGACACTGTTGAGGGTGGGTCTGAGGGAGAAGATGCCTTCAGACACGGTCCTGTGTATGTCAGAAATCAGGTCTGTTCTCTCATTGGAATCCCTGTTGTTGGCAGTCACCCTTGGTAGTCCCGTGTCCTTGCTAGTGTGACAGCATGTTTCCCGGCAAATGCTTCCTTTGCCCATCTCTGTCACTTATTAGCATTTTATCAATGAAGACTGGGAGGGAAGGGGACAAAAGTGAGTGGGGGGGGGGGAAGCAGGCAGGAAGGGAGGGGTAAATGCATTCCCTTCTTGGGGATAGTGGGTTTTTTAGGGAAATATGGGTAGTGACTCTCAGGTGGAAAATATTTTTAGTGCCTCTGAATCTGAAACACATGCTCTAGAAACAGACAAATCTCAGGTGGAAAGTTTTGAGTGCCTACAACCCAATTCTAAGTGAGTTGCTTCAAGAAATCCTAGATACTTGCTGAAAATAACACAACCAGGTACAGTGATGATCAAACACACAACTCACTTTATCATTTCTACTTAAAATATTCACTTGAAAGACAGACAACAGTTCTTTACTGCAATGAGTTACTGGAGATCTGATAATTTAATAAAGGTCTCACATGTGTATACATACCAAGTTTACACCACTGGTGAATTCAATAAAAGTCAGTTACTGTTTGCTTTTATCAAATCATTGACATCAATTCCAGTCATATTATACATGTAATATATACATATATGTATAGTATACAATAATTTCTCTAAATTAACAATAAATTCTCTAAATTAAAAAAAGAACTGACTGTGGTGTATCCATAAACAATAAGTTCTTTAGCACATTTAGAAGAGGGATTAAAATAAGGGACCAATCAGGACTCTTGGCTTCGTTCATTTCATGCATGAGGAAATCATACTGGCTTACCTGCTGTGTGGTACCTTAGGTAGAGTAGCCCAACAGAGCTTTACCCAGGTACTCCAGCCATCAGCATTAGTAAAGAGATGCTCTTCCTTTCTAGTCTACGTACCTTCTCCTGCCATGCGTCTGAAATACTCTACACTTTTGACTGGCTCTTCATAATCTACACACACACACACACACACACACACACACACACACACACACACGCTCACGTCACTTTTCAGGCTAAAGGATCTGGTTCTGCTATTTCTGTTCAGGGACTTCCATTCATCCATCACTCATCTACACATCAGAATTTCCAAGTGGGCTTTGAAAAAAAACCCTCACATTTATTAAGAAAAAATCTTGAGCTACATCCTTAACACTTACCCTTTAATCTGTCAGTTTCCTACGCTGCTGTTACATTCCTGCCATGCCAGTCTCTACGTGACATCACCTTTTCTGCCAGAATTCCTCCACTCTTACTCTAGACCCAGGCATGTGTCAATCTTCCATACCTGCAATGTTTCTGTAAAGTCTTCCTCAGTCTGCCACACAGTGATTAGATCGCCCCTAGGTTTCCCTGTGGCTGTCTAAATTACAATAATATGCTGCGGCCCTGCTCTGATGGCCCATAGGCCTGTGGGCTGTGCTGAGGAAAAATCCCATGTTTCTTGACAGAGAGATGACGGTCATATTTGTCCTCTTGCTGTGGCTCTCCTGTGTTACATGGAGACACTTCTCTTGGCTTTGTTGCTCACTTTACCTGCAAGTTCACTTCTCTTCATTTCTAAGCTGCTTTTTCCCTATCCTGTGACATCTTGCCCTTTGTTAGCTACGACATGGGAGTACATTTCATATGGATTCAGAACAATGGTCTGTTTCCTGTTCTGAACTTTACAACAGAATGAATAGAATATTATTTCCTTCCCTATAAAGGAATCTACAAGTAGTTAAGTACTCTTATTGTTTTATATTGCAAATCTTGATGTAAAATTGTCCCCTTATTTCTGATTTTATTCAACAACTATTTTTGAGTACCTACTATTAACATAAGAAAATATGTTAACAAGATTTAATAGAACATGGAGCTTAAGAAAAACTGTATGTAACTCAAGAAAGGTATAGCCCAGGAGTAATGTAAATCTAGTGTCTGTGAGTAGAGGGCCATTAGATATTTGTGGGATATATAAACTTCACTCTTAAGGTTTGATATGTGCAAGACATTATTTATGTACAATTTAAATAAGATAAGTTCTAGAAAAGGATAGAATTTTAAAATAATAACTATATAATCTAGGCAACTGTCATCAATTCATTTGCTTTAAATTGGTATGTACATTTGTTTATTGAAAAAGCTTTCAATACCATTTCCCCACAAATATAATCACAATAAAAATAATTTTTAGAATACTTAGGGAAAATTTTCTTCTGTGTCAGTTGTATGGACTGGGAAAGATTGATTAATTAAATGTAGCCAAGACTAATGTCATGAGTTCTTTTACTCAAGTAATGGCCCCTGGAACACTGGATGCAAATAAACCCTTTATCCTTTGAATTTGGACTAATTTGATAGTAGTTACCATTGTCTACTAGCACAGTCTAATTTTTAAGATAATGAAAATTTTCTAATTTCATTTCAACTAAGGGTAAATAAAGTATCTTCAGGGATGGAGTTTATTATGGCCCTCTTTTGCAACTGCCTAAAAACATTTGATATTCTTGATTTTGATCTCCATCCATAGTTTAGATGTCTAAACACCAGGATTTACTATTTAAGGCTAAGCTTAGAAAGAAAAACATTCCCAGAAGAACATGACATGACCGAATGGGAGTTACCTCATCGCTGAGTCTTTTCCTCCATTCCTATCTAGTCATCGTAACCTTTATCTCCGCTCTTCAGGTCATGTTCTGTGGGTTGCTCTAGAGTAAAATTAAAGCATAAGAACACAGGCTCTATATCATGAAATACTTGAATGTCACTGAAGCAGATTTTTTATTTAATAATAGATTTCCTTTACAAAAGTTAGAAAAACCATCTGTGTCTCAAAAGATGATTATGGCCAGTATTAACTGTTTTGTGGAACTATTTTGTTTCCAGTGTTTAAAAACATGGCACCTTTAGTTAGGTGATGCTTTTCCACTGTGTTTTTTCACCCTTATCCTTAACTTTTACTCCTGTACAGGTATGAAATAAAATATTTTTTAAATAGCCATGGTGCATCAACTTGTAACTTCTAATTTATCCCCAACTACTGTGACGGACTTAACGATGTACATAAAGGGCTAATTTGGGACTATGCCCACTTCTTGGTCGTTTGCTGGCTACCTGAGTGTAAGCTAGAGCTATGTCATTAAACCTAACCCAACTCCTTTGCGATTAATAGGCACACGATATATATCTGCATCCATCCATACAAGCGGTCAGAAATGTCAATTGCCATAAATGCATTTTCATTATGCCATAGTTTTGGCTATAATTTTGTCAAACTAATCAGTTCTATAAGCTAGTGAAAAAAGGAATCTGGAATATCTACTTGCTTTTCTTCTGCTGTTTACTGTGAAATATTTGACTTAATTTGAGATGTATTTACTTTATTTCTTTTCCTGAGAAGAATATAGCTTTTTGAGTTTAGGGCCTGTTTCATAAGAAATCTAAAGAGTAGCTATGTGGTGATGGTACACGCCTTTAGCCTTGGCACTTGGGAGGCAGTAGCAGGTGCATCTCTGTGAGTTTGTGGCCAGCTTGGTCTAGAAAGTGAGTTGCAGGATAGCCAGGGCTACACAGAGAAACCCTGTCTTGAAAAAAACTAAAAGAGAAAGGAAAGAAGGAAGATAGGAAGGAAAGAAGGAAGGAAGAGAGAAAGAAATCTAAAGAACATATCACCTTTTGCTTATAATATCTAATAATAGTAAAGTACTAATTTTTTACATTTTCCAATAACTCTTTAAAATCCAAACAGCTTAAGCAGAATATAGCTCTTCCAAAAACTTAGTCTGGAATTCCATCTATAACATCTGACAATAGGATCTAAAACTCATGCTGAAATCAACTTCCCAAACAGCATTGCTATTTGGTGATGATACCAGATCTCCCTGACTGCTTGATCTGAGAGCTTCCATTCCTTTGAAAACTGCTACACCTTCCATTGACGCTATGAACACTGTGGCACTTTGCCCCATCTCTGTTTGCCCTTATCAATCAGATTTTAGGCTGAAATATGAATCCTTCAAATGTCTTTAAAACCCCATAGCCTCATATATAAGAAGCACTCAAGACTAGAAACTATGTTTTCACAATTGAAGATAGCTTGGTTTTGGTTTGTTTTTGTTTTTGTTTTACTCCATAATTCAGCAACCGCTCCCCTAAGGACTAAGTGTGTTGGACGAGGGGAAGACTCCACGAAGGTGCAGCTTTCTCTTTTCTATGATCAGCCTCTTGGATGTAATAAACATCTTCATCTATAAATTCCAAAAGTAATTCAAAGGTAAATACTCTAGAAAAGGTGTGTAAACTCCCAAGTTGCTCACTTGCACTAGACTAGATCATGACATAATTTTCATTAGCAGATCACCAGTGTTCTGTGACGCTGCTGTTGTCTTTACTTGAGGTTGGGCACCAAGTACAATGTCTGCCTCTACCTTCAACCTGCCACTTCTTTAGTGTAACATTGCTTCACACACCCTGACCATTAAAATAAAAATAAGTAGAAAGCCCTAGACCAAAGATCCACCCACAGAATGAAATACACAGTTCAGTATGGATTACACTCCACATCATGATGTGAATCCAAGATGAACAAGACCTAAACAATCAGAATCAGGTTAGACTCAGGGGGAAAGCCCTGCAGACCACCAGGTTCCTGGGCTATCTATCTCCAAAGTTAGATCTTCAAAACTAATGTTAAATGCTGTGTGTCAATGCCTTCCTGGAACCCCAGGACTGCGTAGGCTGAGACAGGCTTGCACAATCTAGATCAGCCTGGCCACACAGTTAGAATTCGTCTTAATTTTTAAAATAAAAGGCAAGGAGTGGTTTTTTTTTCATTGCGTATCCTCTCTTCCCTGGAAGAATTTAAGCATTTATGGGGCACTCATGATGAGTTAAACAACAGTAACAGCCTGGCTGCTTCAAAGGGAGGCAAACAGGACTGCTCCCCCTTAATGTTGACAGCATTCCAAAGCAGAGCTCTGGCCATGGCTGGAGGATGCACCCAGGCTCATCCAAGCTCCACGCAGCTGGGAAGTCTGTAAAACCTTTGCAGGACTGCTGGATGAGTCCCAGAATGTCAACCTCATTTTCGATTTACTGGCTCTGGTTGCCTGTGTCACGCTGACCTTATTGTT